GTATCAAAGTTCAAAAAATAAAATAAATGACACAAAGAAACATAGCAAAAGGAATTTAAAGACACACTGAGGTGCAGTGTGTGTTTCTGTGGGGACAAATTGGCGGTGGGGAGGGGCAGAGGGGGTGCTCTGATTATGCAATAGTGAAAAAAACCTAAACTCACTCTCTAATCTGCAAAAACTGTCCAAGGATAAAGGAGCAAGATCTGACTTCTAACCCAAATCAAATTATTCCGGAGTACAAACAGACTAAAACTGAGCTTCAGGCTGGAGAATCCTGACACGTACATACACCAGTCGTTACACCTGCCAGTTGTAGCTCTCTCGACACCTCTCTGTAGGCTGCTGTAGCTCTCTCAGCATTGCTCTCTGCCCATAGCCGTGCCCTGGCACCGAGAGTGAAAGAGCGGCTCCAGAAGCAGCCAGGTACCAACTCGTGCTTCTGCTTTCCTCCACCTTCACCGCCTGGCACCTGGGCTGTCCCCAGCTGGTACATCCCGGTGCGCTCTACTCCAGGTACTCCTTGCTCCCATGATATCTAAAATTGTTGCGTATTTACTGTGTCATCTCTGCAACAGCCTCATTAAATTCAATTAACAGCAGCTCATCAGTAGTACAAAAGTTTGTCCCGAGCGTCTGAACTAAGCTCAGTCAACAGAACTCTAGATATTTTAAGGGTTACCTTCAAAAGCCCCTAAATCTCACCGATACACACAAATTTTTGAGAAAAATTAGGAAAACAAGTAACAGTGCTAAACATTAAATGTAAAGAAGATGGCTGTATGAAGCAGTGAATTCCCTTGCTAGCTAAAATGTGGACACTGAAAAGATTCTGAATTAGGAAAAAGATAGAGAACAACAAAAAAAAAAGAGAACCAAATACGGTGAAAATGCTGACAAATGGGGACTATGTAGCAGTGCCAATGCTCCCAGCATTAACTGTGTACATGGCAGCATTTCGGGAAAGCACATTTGCAACCCACAGCAAATACAAAATCCAATCAACCAGAGTCATACAATTTTTATGTTCTTTTGTCAAGAACTAAAAAGCTGGTAAGTCCATGAGGTGTGGAAGCCGGCTGCATGGTGAATTTCCACCGAGAGAACACTTTCCTAGACTGAGGTTTCAAGCATGAGTTCAGCATGAGTTTTCCATTAGTAACATGAAACATTTCTGCATGTGTTTCAGGAAGATATTAATGTGTTTACAAAAAGAACGCAAATAATGAATGCAGACACAGAAGAAGTAAGCTTATTTACAAGTCTGTAGAAGTCGGGGAATTTTAGATTAAGAAAGAGAGAGGTTATTTTGGGACCAAAACACACATGCCACTACCTAGATTTAAATGAACTTTAAACTTTTCAACCCTACAAAGAATCCAGTGACTTAGATGGCATTATAAGATCAAAATAAAAATATGAGTGAATAATGATGGAAAATACTTTGCAATATTCATCCAAGCCTAGAAGGAAGTTCTTTTATTCTCAGCCTAAGGTCTCAGTCCAGAGAGCTGTTCTGCATGGGCAGGCTCCGTATCAGCACTGTGATTCATCCATGAAACACAATTTGCAGGATCAAAGATTTCAGAAACTTCTCATGTCAGTCTACAGGCATCACCCAAAAAGTTCCCTACTTTTCTGGCAGTGGAAACTAAAGTTCCGAGTGCATCCTAAAACCGTGAATCTCCTATGACTTTGAAGGGCAGCCCAAGCCACTCCCAGCAAGCCCCTGTCTCCTTCACCAGTGTCTATGTTACACTTGCCGCGACTGCACTGAGGGTGTCCATGAATTGGACCAGGGAGGTGATTTATCTGAAGGCCTTGGTTTCCTTCAGCTGGATCAACCGTGCAGTTTTGTTCCTGCTCGGCTGGCGTATCACAGGGGTGGCACAGGGTAGAGAAAAACAGGCAAGAGAAAGTAGCATCCGCTTGCACTGACTTAAGCACCTCTACAACATGTAAAACCAACGCATAATGTTTCATTTCACTCTTGCTATCAGATTATTTCCAAGGTTACTCCTGCTCAACCACCCCACAACGCAGGAAGAAAATACTCACCGCCAGCAAGAGCCTCCTCTCTTGCAGTGTCATCATCACTTGGCTGAAGGATGTTCCAGGATGTCAAAGCAAGTGAAGAAATGTCTTCAGCTGATGATAACTTCAGCATGTCCATGTGATTGCTGTGAGGCTTGTAACGTGGGATGAAACACTCTTTGCCTTGCTTGAAAATATCCTTAATGATTTCTTCTGTCTGGATTTCATCTGGCATGCTCAGAAAGATTGCAATTCTTTTGGATCCTTGGTACTTGGGATGGCCAATCACCTACACAGGAAATGGATGCAATCAGTTGATGAAAAGTTTATGAAAAGATCGACTTTTTTAATTAAACACACAACTGGAGCAAAATATCCATTGAAGAGGGTAGAGAGACAAACTACCAGGCATCATAAAGAGAATAAACTGACTTTGTTTCCTACCCCAACATTTCTATCATCAGCAAAATCAAAATAGGCAAATTTTTGCACCCAGTAAACAAAACATTATAACACAAGTCTGGGCCAGCAAAAGACAATTTTGAAGACGATCTCCTGCACTTTTAAATATTTGTCCCATTTACTGCAGAAATTGCCAAATGCCCAGCATCACTGGAGAAAGATTCTGCAGGTCAGAACTACCAGCTTAAGCAAGACACGAGGGTTTTGCATTCCTTTTCTTCCACCCTCTTTATATGCTGCATCTCTCCTCTGGGCCTGGGTACAATGAGAAGAGCATCAGTGATAATTCCAAAGAAAATTAGCTTCAGAGCAGCTGACTGCAGAGCACAAAGTCTTCCAAGACCAGGTCCTTCTTTCTTTTTTTAACGTGAAGTACCTTCCCTACAGCAAGCTGAGAGATACTTCTTCAAACATCGCCTGCTTCTAATAGGTGATCTTATTACCCCACATTTTTCAGAGCTTGAAGGAAAGACGGCCTTGCTGGTTTTTGATTTTCATGAGGTTCTCTGTGCTGGGCTTATAAAAGACTGAATATAGGAAGGAAAATAAAAAAACGCTTATAAGGTGACGAAGCGTGAGCAGATTCATACCTCACTATGTTTCTGCCCCATTCCAGATTGAATTCCACATCAAAAATTCGAGATGAGGTTTTTAAAACCTTGTCTTCTCGTTCTTTCATACCTTACACATTTTGTTCCTTATATCTGGACAAAACAAACACAAATGTGTCCCTTCTCATTTAAATGTGATTTATTCTTATTTTACACACTGGCAAAAATCTGTCAAAACCACCAGACAATTCAGAAGCCGTGCTCACCCCTGGAACAGCGAGCACCAAGCCCTCTGCTCTGTGTTTGCGTAACTGCAGGGTAACTCGCCCTCCTGAGCTTCTGCCTTTGCCCTGGCCCTGCTTTCAGAGATCAACGCCCCGATCTGAATTGAGATATGGTTCTCACTCCTATTTTTTTCTTTCATTCCAGGACAAGAGTTAAAAGCCCAAGTGAAATATTCACAAGATGGATATATTTTTGTAAGGAGAAAACAAACAAACAAAAAACCCACTCCAGACCAAATTATGGTCATGTGTTGCTTGGCCACAGCAACATCTTAACAATTCAAAATCATATTTTACTTCCTCTTGTAATTTGCCCAACCTTACACATGGATTTTTCCAACTAAGTGATTAAGCTCTTAAACAACAGAATCTCCATGGTAGCTTTTGTTTGAGAGAACGGACTGTTCAGTCCAGTCGCAGCCTCCTGACAACGCCGGTGATTCACGCCGCTGAGGGCCTGCAGAGCTGAACCTTCTCATGGGTTTGGGGAGCAGAGGAACCAAGACACACACCTCCCCCTCTCACAGCGGCGCTGTGGGCACCGTGCGGGGCTGACCTGCTCCGACGTGTCCAGGGACACGTCGATTATACCGTGTGCAGAAAAAAATGAGGTTGAAGACGTAAAACCACACGCTAGCAGGAAGACACAATTTCGGATGTTTTCAGAACTGTGAAGGCGAAGCTGCTATGACTCGGAGCAGTTTCTGAGAAGAGTAAAAAAATTTCCACGCTTAAATATTATCTACCCTTTGTTCACCCGCTGATGGCTATTTTTGGAGAATCAGAGCATGCAAACAGCATGACTTTAATCACGAACATAAACATTAAAAAGAATAATCACCCAGAAGCTAATTAAATACTAGTGGCTAGGTCAGCCTGTGAAGCAATTTCACTTTGAATTTAAAGATCCTTTTGAGATCAGATTTTATGACTAAAAATATTTTTCAGGTGTTATAAAATAACCTCCTCACTTTTATTAGCTGCAAGCACTGATATATGTTATATAGCTACGTTTTCGGCCTTACATTGTTCCAAATATTTTCTCAGCATTTTCAAAAATGTCTTCATGGCGGCTGCAGTACCCTCCCGTAAGGAAGCGAACTCTGCTTTCTGCCACTTGTGCAATGCCACTCTGTCTCAGGCAAACTCAGGATTTTCAGATTGTGCCAGGTTATTAAAATGGCAAGGTAACATCAATTCAGGTGTCACCTTTCCCCATGCCTTCTTTTAAGCAAAACAAAAGCTGCATCTTTCCACGTGCTCTCGCCGGCAGAAACGAGTGCTGTTGCTGAGTTCAGCAGCAGTTAGAGAAGGGCTGAGGGCTCCCAAAAATCTGGTACCGCATGGGCTAAGTACTTAGGAAGTTTGGCAAAGGACTCTGCCTTTTTGGAGAGGATGCATGCTGGTATTTTCTAAAAAATTGAGAGATTTAGGTCTAGGTTGCGCGATTACTAAAAAGCATTATTGTGATAGTAGGACATCACTTATGTATTTTTTTTAAAAAAAAGCATTCCCAACAAAAAAAAAGTTAACGTGAGTTCCAGTCAAAATTGCTATGATCTCAAGTTTCTGTGCTGCCACATCCCGCCCATGAAGTGGCCACACAACTAGTATTAAGTGAAATCTATAAAATGATTTGAGATCCTCCGGTAGAAGACTAACAGCATGAATGGAGATCACCTAGAAGCACCCGCTGGTGCTGCAAAAAAAGAGGCCTGTGCTCTATTACATGCAGTGGCCGCAAAATAAAATTTCATTGCGTTTATTAAAATGACACAATACATCTCTCTAAAAACTTTGTGACTCAAATGCGAATGGG